AAAATGAAATCAAAGAAAATTTCCCAAGTTGAAAGTTTCCCTCTTTTGTCACCATAGTGGTGGTAACTTTGTTTAGTTGGCGGAATTTCTATGGAAACCATTCAAGTACGGAATTTATCCGCAGAAGGTATTGAATACTCTTAGGGCCGAGAGTGGAATTGTGCGCGGTGCGGCTTAAATCAAGCTCTGTTTTCTGAAAAGAAATGAAAGAACAGGAGGAGAGATTGAATTCAATAAATTTTCCTATTTGTTACGGAATTCTTGATATTTTTCTAATCTTTTTCCGCATACTCGCAAATTTGCCTTTCATCTTGCTTCGTGAACCTTAATTGAAGCAATATATGCAAATTCCGTTCCGATTTCTAACTTAATGTTTTGCCTGATATTCTAAGGATTGAAAAATAGTCGTCATAAAACTGTAATTAATTTTACTTTTTTCGATGTATTCGTTTATTATTTTTTTTAATATCTATGCTAAGTAACACGTATGAATGCATTTATTTTTATTAAAAAATCATATCATTCTGGAGTTAAAAAATATTTTTCTAGAGCTACATATGGGAAAACGAGCGCAGTTTTACGCAAAAATTGTAAAGGTTACTTTTTATATGCATTAAGGTTCATATTACTTTTCAATGTGTTGTGTATGATTCCAAAATCGGAAGTTCGTGGATGGGAGCTCAATGCTTTGGGAACGTTAATAAATCCAATAGCTAATACAGAAAGCAATGCATTTTTTTTTAATGTAAGAGATATTGCTTATTAATAAAAAGATACATCACATAATACAAAAAAAACATTCAATTTTTTTAAAAGAATATTGTATAAACATTTTTAAAAGGTGTGTTTTTTTCTTAATAAGCGTAAAAAAGTGACACATATTTTCCTTTTACCTTTTTTGTCCCGTTTTTGTCTTTAAATTAACTGCGCTGATAGAAAATGTTCCATGTCAGTGGCATTTGTTATTTTTAATAACGTTTCATTCTTGGCAAAAGAATTTTGGTTTATTTAATTACCGGCGTTGAACAGCCGACACAATTTTGAGTTCACGACAATCAATGTTCAACTCCATGGTATTGTTATTTCGAACCAAACCCAGAAGACAAGGGAACTCCTGGATCAAGCCTTTGGATAATCTTCAGGAGACAAGCTTTCACGGAGGTGTTTTTAATGGAACTAAGCCGCGTTTGTCTCACACAGAGAGGAAAACCCTGAAACCGCTCAACATTAGGTCGACGACAAGAGGATTCTAACCCATGATCTGTCTACCACTGAGAATAAGTCAGCACTGTAATCTTTGCGAGACGGGAGCAGAATTCTTATTAACCAGCCACCGTTGGGATTTAAACTAGGGTCACCTTATTGTAAGTTGATACGCTCTATCCCCTGAGCCACCATAAAAGAATTATAAAGAGGTTCATTTTTGATGATTATTAGTACCTACGGATGTTACGACGGCAAATGTTCCACTTTAAGATGTAGTTGATTTTTGCGCCTTATGCATTTTGAGTTTCTCCCTGCTCTGGGATAAAATAGCCCCAGTAATAAATAAATATTGAAGTTTGAGTCATGTTGCCACTAAATTTATTATGGATGCATTTTTTTTCTGGTTGATTTTTATTTTTTTCTTCATATATTAAGAAAATCTAGATTATGAATAAAGCTAAACAATTTGAATAGGATACAGATAATGTCGAATATACTTGCTATATTTACGATTCTATAACGACGAACATTCTTCTGTGTTGAAACTCAGGATGAAAGAGGGAAACGTGGAGATGCAGAAGACAATGACAAGAAGAAAAAAAAGGAGGTTGAACAATAGTGAAAGGAGATAAACTAAAATAATTAAATAAAAGAAGGGGAAGAATAGGGAGCGGGTACAGTGGAGATAAAGTGAGAACTCCAGATGTTGCAAGATGTTTCAATTAAAAGAAAATAGATTTTTCTTAAACATTTGGAAAACTGAAGTACCTCAAAATGTCATTAACTGAATTATTAGAATTTTCTGAAATATTAAATGACTCCCTGAAATTAAGGTCGCAACTGAGAAGCACCTTTATGTTATGCGGAGCAGTACTTCCTTCAACGCTACTCCTCAATTACTAACACAGATTTATGGGAATAACTTTTTTTATGGTTTGTTTACCTTAATTGGGCTTGTCCCACAACTCATAGAACAGCGAAGGCCTCCGTACGGATCAATTTATTAGTCGGACGTAACGAATCTAAACTGCGAAGTGAGAGGATATAAGAAAAATGTCACAACGTCCAGCCTACTAAGTTGCCCAGTGAACGAAAAGTAGGAAAGGTGTCACAATGTTCGGACTATTCAAGGATCGGATTTCTCGTTAGGGTTTGACATGAATGTTGGGCATGAATGTTGGACAAACTTAATTTTTTTTGTTGCTTGTGTTTCATTGCCGTTTACAATTCAGTGTTTCAACCCTGAAGAAGCTCCTTCATTAATAATCTGCGAAACTATTGCCCAACTCTTTATGTGGCATTATTTGTGCTCTTTTTCCCGCTGTTCAGCTTCATTCATAGGTTGCAAAAAGTTAACCTTACAATTTAAAAATGTAGATTTGATTTCTTTTTTTATGATCAGGGTTCACATATTCCAGGAAGGAAGGAGAATTTATTGAGTCTTCAGAATTGGACTCAAATTTACGAGATTACGCGGTGAATGTTTAATAACTGAAATTTATAAACATGACGAAGTCCAATGCGCGAACCAATCTGTATACATTTCAAAGTATGAAAACTGTACTGAAACTTAATAAAACTTTTCGAAAGCTATTGAAAAATATTTGAACAACAATTTACAGTAAAAAAAAATTTAAGCAAGCTTTATAACTAATTAATGTCACAAATTAAAATTGTTTACCACAGGCAATGCATACACAATATAAATATGCTTTTCACCCCGCTGCTTGTTTATGAAATAATGCAACTCTAATCTACACTTGAATTCTTTTCTTCGCAGCCGATGAATAAAAGTTGTCACGCACAAGAGATAAAAAGGACCTCCTTCTGCGCCTTACCTCTGCTCTTCATTAATATAACCGCATAATAGCCGAGGATGTGGTTTATGGAAACAAATGAGATCCCCGTTGGGAGGGTACAAAATGTAAAATGAGAAAATTCTTTTCTTCCTCGCGTCACATTCAGCTGTAAATTGGATTGCCACTTTATTTCCACTCCCAGAACTTGTCTTCTTTCACAGATTCTCAAAGTTCTTTTTGATTAAAAAGTTTCTCTGGTTATGGTTTTGAAAGTTGTTGGGTTGATTTGTATTTTCATTTTCGCAGAATTTCCGATCACAGTACTCTAAGTAACTATAAACACAGTCTTATTAAGCTCGAGACTTTAGAAGTTTAATAATTAAACTAGCAATTTTCAATGTTATATTATATATATATATATATATATATATATTATATGAGTGCTTATTACTTACCTTAATTTATTGTATTATGTATTTTATTAACAATTGCAAAGGAAAAGGATATTGTTCTTAGTTTATTATCCATAAGATTTTTTATTTGCTTCCTTAAATTTACTATGCATTATCTCTATTATAAATTTACATCTATCCACTTTTTTTATATTTCATTTTCAGAAATAATCACAAATAANAAAAAAAAGATATAATCTTTTCATCTGCCCACACGATTATATCCGCAAAACAGAGTGCTTTCTGATATTGTATCAATAAAGCCAAAGCAAAATATATTAATACAATAGTGTGAGGAGCACTCAAAAAACTTTTACAAAAATTACAACAAATAAAATAGAACACAAAAAGTAAATATAAGTAAAAATAACATGAAAAAATAATGAATAATAAATAACATGAAAAATAAAATGAAATAAAAAGAAAAAACAGTATAAAAAATGGACTATAAAGCGAGTAGCGAATATATATATATATACTATAGGGGGAGAAATTCTGATTGTAGAGTTCAATAGAAAAGCAGCATATATTTTGTACAGAAAAAGATACAACATTTTCATTTTTATAAAAGAAAAGTATTTTCTGCTCGTTATTGCAGCAGTCTTATATTCTGCCTTCATTATTAAATGTTTTTGTTACATAAAGTTTTACTTCGTAATTGCTTTTAAGACATAACTGCAATAAAATATTCATCTGGGAGATGTTTCCAATTCTCTTACTGGTAGTAAAAAACACACAAGTACACCAGTAATAGAATCTTAGACCGTTAAGCCTCTACGCTCGAGAGGTACCTTTCAGTTACCACAACCTCTCTGTCTTCATGTTAAAATGATTGCATCTTTGTGTTTATTAACTATTTTATTTAGTAACCTCCAGGTATAATTTCGTAAGTTTGTTAATATTGTCTGGCAAACTTTAAGTAGTTTGATCCGGCTTTTAAACCGTTGGAAGAACGTTGAGTGTAAAAGGTAATGAGGTTGAAAATAAGCTCATCTTATTTTGATTCAAGTAAGATGGCTTGGAACATTATCCATAAAAATGACTATTACACTATTCAGACCAACGAATTAGAAATGTTCTTCACTGAACAGAAATTTAAAGACTTTTAGTATGAAAATATACACCGCTGGTTCCGAATGAAGGGACATGAGTTCGATCCTGGATGCAACCAGGCGTGTATACACATCAAGGTGCAAGCTAAATCTGTCGTGGTGGAAAGTCCTCTTGTTCGTTGGAGTTGGAAGTTTGGAAAGAATGTTAATAGCGCAGGCGCTGTTCACGTCGTCTGACAAAAGTCAAGATGACGTGACTTTCTACCATGGCCGTTTAAAGATAGAGCGTTTGAAAATGTGGATAAGTGCTTGGGTGTGGTTGTGTGGTGTGCGTGTAAAGTGAGTTAAAGAAAATTTCTGTCATAACTTGAAGAAACTGTTTGTTAAACACGGTAAATTCGAAAATTTTAGTTTTTAATAACTGCAGTTCAGCAAGTTTTTTCTATAAGCTTTTTATTTGTGTAATGAATGTTGTTGCATTTTTTTTACAGATTCTTCGCAAGCTGCATTCCCATTTGCAAATGAGGTCCAATGGAATCACCACCACCAGGCTGCCCATTACCAGAACTACTTGGGACACAGTCTGCAGACGGCAGCAGGTTTCACTTCAGCTCCTTGTTCACAAATGGATGTCACCTCTACTCATGATTCAGGTCACGTCACACCTCAAACCACACCCACAGGTACGGATACGCCTTCATCTCGTGTTTCTTCATTCTTCACCACATTGTTTCATATGAACACGCCACAATATTTATTATGCCCTCACATTCACTTAATCACGGCCTGAATTCGTATTGGCGGAGGCATTTAATCATTTTGCATGATATGTCAGTGACTGGGGACATTAGAATGCTGATTTCTGTGGACAAATAAAATCTTGATTTTTTTGTTAGCGTTAAGCAATAAAATGAAGTTTTTTCAAACGTTACTTTTTTGTTAAGTAGAATGGGATCTAAAGTTTTGTGAAATTTTCTTAATAAGCGTTACTGCGCGTTATGCTATGCCAATGTATTTTAATGATGGATATAGGAAAATTTTCTATTTCTTGACAAATATTTTTTTAATGCCACTGCTTTTGTAAATCCAAGTAGTAAATTTGAGGCAAGGGGATTACCATTTCTTCATGTTTTTTTAGACCAATTCTAAAAAATAAGGTAGCTCCTGAGATGCATTAGAGGGTCAAACTCGCAGCGTTAAAGAAGTAACAAGCCTCCATCATACAAGAACTTTCCGATTCTTCTTATTATTTTTTGTTGAAAACTCTGAGATCCATACTAAATTTTATGGACTAATTACATCATTAAAACGGTAAGGTACTAATGGCAAATATAATTCTACAGATCGTTTAGACAACTTGAAGCGGCGAATCATTTTTCTTGAAATGTTCCGGACCTCACCTTACTTACCAGTGTTACAAGAACCATATAACTTCAGCTAAATACTAAAATTGCGGCAAATTAGACTCGGGAGGTGTAATGCCCTCTTTGAGAAGAAAAACGAACTTACCAGAACAAGACTTAACTCAACTAAACAAGACATCATAGTCCGTTTTCTGATCGAGAAAGTCATTCAGTTTGTGAGGACATTAAGAAAGAAGAGAAGTCTATTTCAACTACATCTTTGCAATAATGCGTGCTTTTATTTTTTGTCGTTGGATAGTAGCGTTGGATACTCTTTATTTCTACCTTATTTTCAGCGGAATTCAACATCTCCGATCTTTATTCCAACTTAGATCATTATCCACTAGTGGTTAGCCCCTGGTAGGGTACGCCATCTATAATGTTTATTTCTGCAGTAAAGCATTTTCGTTAAGGAAGAAAACTCCAGAAATCTCTCCCATGGTTATCCCGGTTAATATGTTCCCCTTTTTTGTGACAGCATAGATCTACATCTAATCACTGGGATCATGTATATGAATATATCAATGAAGTACTTTATGCTCATTGGCTGGAGATCAGAATTATATAGATATTGCCTAGTATCGGAATTTTGAGTAGTCTGTGTTAATAACAAAGGGGAAGTCTCCTAAACCACCCAAAAATGTTTCTCTTTTACAAAATTTTTTTTGTCCTTCTGTTGGAGCCGGTAAAAAAAAAAAAGAAATTCCAAGGTAATCCCTTGTTCTCGATTATAAATTTCTATTTCTAGATAATTAATTTTCACATTTTAATATATTCTTTATGAAGAACAACATAGATTTAAAAGCATTGTTTGTTTTAACGTAAGCTGACTCAAAATACAGCGTCTTCAGAAATATTGACTGTATTTGAATATTGTTCTAAAGGTGCGTACTATCAATTACAAAAGAGAATTTCGTGAATCAATTCAACTTTAACTGAAATATTTATTTTTATAATAAAAATATGCAAAATCGTGGTTCAATTCCTGGTGGAGGCTATTGCCCACCCAACTTCTGATCGATAGGTACCAGCTGGCTGGGAAATAAAGTCGGCCGGCCGGTGCGCAATGTTGAAAATATCGACACCCATATGGCTTCTTGCTTTAACCTTCTTGACTATATGACTACCTACTAGTCCTTGTGGAAATGGTATTTTTTTCTAAATACACAACTTTCAGTAATTCAGGGCTTAAAAATTAGATCTAGTTTGACGGCATCCCCTCATTTTCCTAAATTTAATAACGTCATTATAAAAATTCTTAAATGTTTTTAATGTTTTCTATTTTCTAATTTAGTATTTACTGATACATAGATTAAGTTTTTAAACTCAAAGCAAGTAACCTTTCGTATAACTTCAAAAACTTTCAGAACTTTGTAAAATTCAAGAAGTTCTTATAAGTCATTAGTGGGCTAAGTGATAAATAGTGAGTTAAATTTTAAGACTTCTCCGCATAAACAAAGAAGAAGAATTATCCTATAAAATTATTAATTTGAAATAAATATAGTAATTAAAACTTTTAAATTCGAACTGTCTGCTGAAGGCATCATTTCCGATCCAAACTCAGCATCATCGACCCAATGGGTGAGAGCTTTCCGATTAGGATGTGCTAAAGGAGAACAATTTGAAAAGTCAACAAGACCACTTTTACAATTTTCCATAAAGCAGGCAATTGACTTGAAGCTTTCATTAGTAGCCATTCCGATCAATACAGAGCTCAACTTTCAGGCAAAAGATTTGGAGCGGGGGTGAGGGAAATTGTGAGCTAGTCATATTTAGAAAAGCTAGGGAGGGTATTAAGTGTGAGAAGAGAGTTCTCGAAGAAAACTTGCTATAATCATTTTAACATTTGAAGTGTTGACAGTGATGGATCCATTTGCAGTGGAGATCGAGGGGTCGGGATGGTTTTCAGCCCCCCCTTGCGAAAATTTAACACAAGATGGATTGTTGAGCGCTGTGGCTGATGCATATTAACTCATTTTAAATGATACGCTGCACAAGATCTGCTTTAATTGCTTTATTTTCAGAGGGAAGCGTGCCTCGGGTTTAGTCACCACGAGGTGTATGTTTTGGTGGTGAACTATCGACCCGAGCTTTAATTTGTTCGATAAGTGTTTTTAAAACAAATCCTCTCTCGAACATGCATTAATAAAGGGAAAAATCTGAATGAAAAAGTGGTCTGAGAAAATTATTTCGTAATTATCGCGGGGAGGATTTTTTTTCTCTCCTCCTTTTAGTTATGAAATAATGTGAAAGTTTGAGGGAAAATAATTATTAAGTAATTTGGATAAAGTGGTAGTCATTAAATATTCCACTAAAAATAGCAGTTTGGTTCAAGAAATTTAAAAGAAAGTTATGCTTACTTTTTAAATGATCTCTAGTGAAGAAAGGACGGAATTTTGTTATGCAATTTTAGCTCATTCTATTTTGTAACATTTTTATTTTATTTATTTTTTTACATACTCGACTGCATATCTAGTTTGTGAATATACATTGTATGAAAAATATATTGCATGCTTTACTTACTACCTTATAAAGTAAACTTATTTCAACCTATTTTTCTTCAAGGTAGTGTTCTATAATATTATAGGGAAAGGTTTTAAAAGCTCTTTCTATTGGAACAAAAGCTTTGATTTCATTTCATTGATTTAAAATGAGATTTTCTGATTTTATTCTAAAATCAAACTTTAAAATCGATAATGAGAAAACAAAATGTGTCGAAGGAAAAGCTTACTCTCTCTCTCTGTTTTCGTTAATTTAAAATACAAACGAATAAGATACATCAAATATGTTTACGTAATAGTATAGGTTAAAAGTAAAAGGTTAAAGGTTCTATAATAGAAGCTTGTAAGTTTTTAACGACGTTATCTAATGGAATTAGCCGAAAAATGAAGATCCTCCCCCCTCTTTCTTTTCAATCAGAAAAGGTGCAATGCATTTGTAACTAGAAAAAAGTATGTAAAGAATAACTAACAGATATTTACATTTCGATAATCATTTAATTACATATTATGAATAATGCTTCTTTTTGATATTAATTAAATATTACAAAACTATAAGAGATATATTAGTATATGAAAATTATAACTTTCAACAAGTAGTAACAAACTAGATTATAAAGGATAAAGGTAGTATATTATGCTGTTTTAAAACGTTTGATTATATGAACAGTGCACAAAATTAAAAACAGACCACCCTGATTAACTTTTTATCTAATGATCGGATCTTCACTTTCTGAGATTCTCTCTTACTAGTTCAAAGGGGTGACCACAAATATCCTAATAATTAGTGCTTTTTGAAAAAGTCATAAATTTAAAACTCGATTTCTCAGGAACTATTCGACCGATTTCGCTCACATTCTGTTCGTAAAGTTTCACAATTTTTAAAGTATAAAAATTGTATACCTTGCAATCAAATTTTTTTTTACTGTTATCAAATAAAATAATTGCAAATAATAAATATTTAATAAACTTACATTTTGTATTGAATTATCTTTGGATAAACAAATTTCATAATTGTGCCCAAAAAATTCTCAATTCTCTTTAAGAATTCAAGAGATACAGTGAAATATGTAAAAAGTAAAATTAAGATTAAGAGAATCAAACTTTGGATCGGCACCTGACCAAACTAACGGGTCCCTATTTGGTGGTTCGGAAATCGAGTCAGTAAAAAAAAAAGTATGTTTATTCAGAGAAAGGGTGTTTTTGTGTCTGATTTCGTATCTTAAAATATCGTTTGACCAAATTAATTAGCATATTTGAGGTCAGCCCCTCGCGCCCTTAGGATTGAGTCCTAGAACGTGAAGATCCGATCATTAGATCAAAAGTCATTCAGGATGGGCAGTTTTATATTTTGCGCATTGAACACATATTTTTATCAATAAAAATGTACTTTATAAATGCATATTTTTTTCAAATGAAGGAAAGTATATTTCTTATTTCAGGTTTACTGACAGATCGTCATTCTGCAAATTCAGTCGGGAGTTTTCCTACGGTTGTTGAGCAAGCCTCCCCCGGTGCCATCAAAGACCCACTCTTTGTCAGTCGATACAATAATGCTATGGTTGCTGCCTCTGAACTGTGCCTAACCGACAGACTATCAGAACTGAGACATGGCCTCTCCGGTACCAATCCAACCGCCTGCAATACCTACTCACCCTCTCATCAATTCAACAATGCATCTCTCGCTTTCCTTGCTTCGAATCCCTCAACACACAACACCCTTCCCTACTTCGCAGCCATGAACCACGGGAGCTACAGTCTCTTGTCTGCTGGCCATGGATTTTACAACAACGGCACCTCTTCTAGGACAAACAACCCTACTCTAATGGCTGCTGCCGGCATGTATTTTACACCGCCCATGATGTCACCCTCTCTGTTTTACTCGCAGTTGTACTCTCAAAATCAACTGCAGTCATCTCTGCAGCATATGAACAACGGCGAGACGAAGTGTTCCATCGAGGACGAGGTCACTCAAAGGTGCGTAGACAGTGGTGGCCCGTCTCTCTCACGAGATTCCAGCACGAATGACTCAGTTATACAATCAGAGTGCAGCAGCAACCACAGCATGGGTGATTCCGTGAGAAGCAATGAGACGAGGCCGAGAGAAAACGACGCGTCTGAGTCGGATCAGCCGAGAAATCATAGTTCTGGTAGTGCCACTGAACATTTTACGCAAGAATCAAACGAACACGCGCAGTCTGACACTAATTTGTGGCGCCCTTATTAAAGGGGTGATTCCGTCCTTTCTAGAATTGTTCACATTCTGTTTTGTTGCATTAATTTCAAAGTCAATAACTTTATTTTATTTTAAGAACCCGAAGAATTGATTATTAATTATTGTTTAAATTGTATTTAATGAGTTGCAAAAAACTGACTCGAATTCATCTGAAAATATTAATTTAGTTGAACTACACTGGAATGAATTATAAAGAGACTTCACTTTGTTAACAAAAACTACATAAATTTCATTAACCTATGTATTTTTGTCCACATAAGTAATCTTTTATGAATAAGAAGGAAACATTTTTCATCGCGGTTACTTTTACTCATTACTATTCATAGAAAAAAAATTGCAATCGTTACGAAGGATGAATAACACGCCACAAATGCCTCTAACTTATTTATCGTGAGGGGGGGACTAAATGGTCATTTGAGATGTAGCCCGACGTAAATGCATTTAATTGGCTGTCCAAGAAAGGCTCGAGACAAAATAATAATTAAAAAAAAAACCTTTGCTCCATATTAAGGGTTTTGAAAATAAAATTTCCGACTTGAAAAATAGAATCAATTTTGGGTATCAACTTTTAAGCAAATATAGCGAAATACTTTTTTTCGTGATAGTAAGTTTGAATGTTATCTAACAATACAAAAAAGAAGAGGATTAGAAATTAATGAAATTCGCTGAAACGATAAAGGGTTTCTCTATACCACAAAACATGGTCGCAAAAAAAATCTAAATACCTTTGTCTGATACTAGGTAAAAAAATAATAAATTTATTGGTCTCTTGTTTAACGGTCTTAACCTGTGATCTTATGATGATCATCCCATCTAAGAATTATTCTCTTGTTTTATTGTGTTTTTATTTTCGATTATTCTTTAAAGGCTGAAATCTAAAAGAGTTTTTCCTTTCTTATGAAGTAATTGAATAATATTGACATATTATAAACAACAATTTATAATAAATATATGTAGTTGCCGTTTTCTAATCATTGAATAAGTTATATTTACTTTTTAATGAAACTTTGTGTTAAGACAGTTAGCACATGAACATAGCATATAGCATTTAGTTACCAACATAAGCAATTGAAAAGAAATCCTAAGAATTTAATTTTTGCTCTCCTAATTTCTTTTACGAAAATCATTTAAAGAGATTTTTTTACACTATTAACATAAAAGAAAATACAAATTTTAAAAAAAATTATTGTGGTTGATATTCTTTTAAATTCATTCTTTTAAAATGATCCTGTAAAATTGAACCCATTCATATAAGTTTTTAATTATATTCTTATAAAAATAGGGATAGCTAATATCTGTTCGAAATTTACAATTATTAATTTAACTATTATAAGTTGAAAAAGGTCATGAACTTGTTTCTACATATAATAATATCAAATTAATAAATGTAAATTAAAACTCAGTCAGGATGATAATTAAAAAATATTTAATTTTCAAAGAAAGGTCGTTCTTAATTATTGTTATTATCATAAAACATTGCTTCCCCAAAAATATTTATTACGTGTACAAATGATTTAGTATTTATTTTGAATTTATTGTATAAATAATTTATCAGTATTTATGAGATATAGATGAATCAACATGATGTAAAGATGTATATATGAAGAGTTTTATAAAAACCATATTACTGTAAATAATTTAAAGCGTTAAGATGTTTTTAAAAGTTAGAAGAGCCTACGCACAATTTGTAAATATCTTTCTGTAAATAAATTCATGTTATTATTGAATGATATCTCTTTTTTTCCAATATCTATAAGATGCCTTTATAGGCATAAGAAATATTTCAATGTTTCAGACATTATAAAAGCTACACTTACCTGTTTAGATAAAGATTCTACGTATCGATTTGACAAAATTCTCTAGACATTTTGCTCCTCTGTCTCTTTGTATTATCTAGATTATAATCTTGAAAAACCATAAAATGATTAATAAAAATAATTACACATTTTTAACTAAAGTAATACTTTTTTTATACATTTAATACATTTTTAACTAAAGTAATAATTACACATTTTTTACTTAATAGGCATAAGAAATGTTTCAAACATTATAAAAGCTGCAAACATTATAAAGCTTGCCTGTTTAGGTAATGATTCTACGTATCGAGAGGATTTGACTAAATTCTCTAGATATTTTGATCCTCGGTCTCTTTGTATTATTTAGGTTATAAGCTTGAAAAACCATAAAATGATCAATAAAAATAATTACACATTTTTAACTAAAGTAATACTTTTTTAATCATTTTATACATTTTTAATTAAAGTAATAATTACACATTTTTGACTTAATAGGCATAAGAAATATTTCAATGTTTCAGACATTATAAAAGCTGCACTAGCCTGTTTAGGTAATGATTCTACGTATCGAGAGGATTTGACTAAATTCTCTAGACATTTTGCTCTTCGGTCTCTTTGTATTATCTAGGTTATAAGCTTGAAAAACCATAAAATGATTAATAAAAATAATTACGGATTTTTAACTAAAGTTAATGAATAATTAAGTTAATTAAATCACAACAACCAGCATCTGCAAAAAATAATGAAAAGAAAAACTTACGCTTTAATTCTATTAATTAATAATCTATTAATCGGATTTTCTTGTATTAAATTACAATCTTAATAGTTTTAAAATAGCACTTATACATACTATTTAATTATTAAGAACGTTGAATTGGAGAATTAAAATCAAGAGCAAACTTTTTTTTGCTTCATAAAATAAGTAATTTTATGGACATATATTCAAACTTTGAAAACGAAAATCTGTTGAATAGTTTCATTGAACGTACAATATAATACTATGTGTAAACTAAAATGTGAAAAAAAAATTCAGAGTATACAAGCTAGAGTATAGAGTAGTAAATATACCCAAAATTATTTTTAAAAAAACCAAGTTATCTTAGGGTTTTAGTGTAATTTTGTAAACCGCTGTTAATTGACAGACGGCAAATTAAGTGCAAGCCTTATTCAATGTTCAATATCTGATAATAAAGTGATTTGAATTTCATTTCTGATTTCTAATCTCAAAAAGAAAACCTAAAATGTCCTAATAGCTAATTTTTTACAAATACGTAAGGAAATTAATAAGCCCAGCACGAACAGAACATTGGAAAATTGCGTATTATAACATGTTATTTGCATATTAATATGAATGTATAATATATCATATAGCAATATCTTTGTCTAGTCTAGTTCAATATACTTGTATACTTATTATAATATACTTATCTGAACAACCGACCCATATTTAATTTGTGGAAATCAATTTTCAACTTTGTAGTCTTTTTCAAATGGGATAAATTCGCCCTCGTAGAAGCCGCTGCGGCAAAAAAATTTCTGAACCATGCTACTTCTAACAATAAGGATAATGACATCACTGCGCTTAGTTCAGGTTGTGATGGGATTCGAACCTGGGTTCCTGAATCGAAATTTAAGATTTTTTACTTTCCTCGATGCACAATTTTTTGAAGAAAACTTCGGGTTACATGGCGTAGGATAACTGGAAAACCATCCCGCAGTTGTTACTTAACGGCAATGATCCTCGAATTCATTGTTCCGCAAGCTCCGATACATGGATTGATATTTGTGTTAGAAAAAATATAAATTTTGTTTATATTTCATCGAGTTTTGACTCAAAATATTTTTCATTGAAAATGATCAGAAACAAACCAGTCAAAAAATTGCTGATCAGAAACAAACTAGTAAAAAAAAAGTACCATAATTTTTTTAATTAAAAATTATGCCAACAGTTGGAGCTGCTAACGTTACTTATCCTTCGGGAAAATCGTGTTGACAAAAACAGTTCGAGCACATAGGATACATCTATGACTTATTGACAATTTTAAGAAAACATTTTTTCATTAGCCTTATAGTTCCGAATGTGAAAAAGAAATAAATGAAATTCAAAAATAATAATGATACGTGGGACCAAATTTTTGACCACATTCCCGATTTAATATTTTGAGGAATTCGTATCTATCCTATAATCCAGTGTTTCCCAACCTTTTTCGTACCATGCCCCACCTAAGCCCTTCTAAAATTCTTATGCCCCCCTATGTAACATATACATAATTTTTAATAATAAAAAATCGAATTGTTCACTTAAGAAACTTAGGAAATTGTTAGCGAAACAAAGTAAGTAAATTTTCAGAACATATAATGAAAAACTAAAATTCAAATTCGAAATAATTTTAATAAGTATTTTTCTATAATAATTTAATATTTTAATTAAGTGAGATTCTTGCCCTTGATGCTTGCTGCACGTAGATTTTATCTTAGGTTCCAATTTGGTTAGCCTCAGTCTCAAGTCTCCCCGTTGTGTTATATCTAGACGATTTTTTTTTACCAATGAAATCATTTACAGCACTAAATCCACATTCAGCTAAATATGAAGATGGAATCGGTAACAATAGTTTTCTTGCACATTTGATTGAATTTGGGTATTTGTTTTCTGTTTCCTCACGAAGCCATGCCATCACTCC